GATCAACATTAGATGATTTCATGGTTGTAACTAAACAAACGAGATGCGAAACTAAGACCTGTTGCCGGATGGGGAAGGATGTCGTTGGATATAGGAACGGATGTCGCCGGAGAGAGTGATAGATGGAGATGGAATGAGTTGCGATTTAGGGATTTAGGTTATGAGTTGTTGCTGCTGCGTATATATATACACAAAAAATTTGGCTTGCGAAACTAAAACATGTTGCGAACTTTGAAACTCGCATTGCGATTCTGTATTATCTCGTTGCGAAAGTCAGAATCGCGTTGCGAAAGGCAATCATTTAACCATCGCAATGCGAAATGCAAATCGCAACGATAGAATCGCAATGCGAAATGAAAAAGGCAACGAGGATTAACATGCATAAACTTTTAACAATTATTATTGAATTCTAGGTACTTAACCAAACATTTTCAAACCAAAAGAAGTATATATGTTAACAAAACTTACATTATGTGTATTTTATGTGTGCACTTTTAACATTTTCAGTTAGGCATGTATTAGTAACTTGAGTTTGAACATTGCTATGATCTGTTCAGTTGTCATCACTTATTAGACATTCATTTGACTATCGTAATGCGAAAATGACTATCGCAACGCGAAAATGGTTATCGCAACGAGAAAATCGCAATGCAAAATGAAAATCGCATTGCGATTTTCTCGTTGCGATTTTCATTTCGCATTGCGATTTTCATTTCGCATTGCGATTTTCTCGTTGCGATAGCCATTTCGCGTTGCGATAGTCTGTTTTGCCTTCAACATAAAGCAGATTGAAAATCAACAAATCAACTATTACATTTCAACACAAATTATGTACACATCAATTAAACAAATCAAGATTTACAAATCATCTTTTACAAATCAATTAAACAATCAAAAAATAATAATAATTCTTATTTCTTCATCAATTATTGAATCAATGAATCAACAACTTCGTGACCCCGTACATCCATTTCACGCAACTCACTTAAGGATTAACCTGCAGAAACCAAACATTTGCTCAAACAAGACTTCCTACACATCTAAAACCTACAAACAACAAATTATTGAATTCTAGGTACTTAACCAAACATTTTCAAACCAAAAGAAGTATATATGTTAACAAAACTTGCATTTGACTTACCAATTAACAATGGACACTTTCATAACGCGGATACAGGTAGGCAGCGTCTCGAATATATTGCTCTAGCCATATAATGCCGAAACCACAAGCCTACTGTAGCTCTATCTCTATCGGTGGGAGGTAAAAACTCTGTGCTTCCCGTCGTCAAACGCGCCAAGCAAAGGCATACGAGAGGACCACAATCCCCTCTAGCTCCTGACGATTGTTGTGGCGCGGTCTCGTCTCTGACAACTGTGACATTGAACTTCTTTGGCTTCTTGTGTCCAGAATGACTCCAATACTTAATCCCATCCAAGAATTTAGCCAAATGAGATCTCCATCCCTTGAAAATATCTCTCAAATCAGACAGTGATATGTAATTGATCATGCTGTCATACACTATTATCTTCAGGGATGGGAGCTGAAGTTGGACGAGAAGCCAGTGACGACGTTCCAAAACAGGGATAAACACCTACGATCATAAGTAATAATTCATTTATTTGCGCACTTATTTATGAACACCTTTAAAAAATTTAAAAAATAAACACTAACCGTATCGACCTCCCATCATGCAGGATAAAGTTTAGCTTGTCCATTGCCCAACAAAAATGATTCATCTCGTTGATTCTTCAAGTGAACTGCGTGAAAAGCCGTCGGCATTATTGTATATAGCGAATTTTTTTTATTTTTCCTAAGCTTCCTTATTATTAGTAGACGTGACACCCACGCATCGATATGCTGTTTTACAAAAAAAATACATATATTAGTGAATTACATTAATTTTTAAACAAATTAATCAAAATCATATATAAGACAAATATAGTCTTACCTCCCCATCCAAATAGCCACTGTCTTCAACCCCTAATAGCACACCCCACCAAGACCGATCAAGCAACAAAAACATTTCATCGTTGAGTTTGATGATGTCAGTGTAACACCCTTGGCTCCGCTCATGTAGATAAAAATCAACTGCGGTCTTAGCCCAAAGGGTATTATCCACAATTGTTTCCGGTAGTTGTCTCCTCTCCACTTCAGATACCGGAAGGGTACTAGCCGGTAACTCATACGAGAGCCAACTCTCATCCATCATGTCCGGAACCGGTGGGGGTTTCTCAATACTTCGATATATTACCCCATGTGAATCGGGCTCTGGAATGGTGGGAGGGACCTCTTCAACGATGACATTGGCCTCTTGAACGGTGGGGGGGAATCTTGAGGGAGAATAGGGGCCTCTTGAACGATTGGAGGGGACTCTTGAGGGATGACCGGTGAGTCGGGCTTCTTCTTGCGGAGTCTTCGCACCATTGGGGTGAACGGAGACGTAATAGCACGTCCACGCCGTCTGATGCGTGAACTCCGTCGTGCAAGGAAAACCCGACGTAAAGCATCCACCTTATCGGGCCGCTAAAAAAAATTAATACATAAATCAGTAAATAAACAGACATGATATTAAACAAAGACAAATATGTTTCAAACTAGCATTGTATTCACCCAAATCATTATTCTATCATAGTTCACAAAATGCTCAGATAACATTCCAGAAGTAAGCACTTATATAAACATTTAAAAGGATAACATATATAAACATTCCAGAAGAAGAATAGTTTACTTTCGCAACACGAAACTTAAAATCGCAACGCGAAATGACTATCGCAACGCGGAAATGGCTATCGCAATGCGAAATGAAAATCGCAACGCGAAATGAAATCGAAACGACAAAATCGCAACGCGAAACACAAATCGCATTGCGATTTTCATTTCGCGTTGCGATTTTTTCGTTGCGATTTCATTTCGCATTGCGATTTTGTCGTTGCGATTTTCATTTCGCATTGCAATAGCCATTTCCGCGTTGCGATAGTCATTTTCGTGTTGCGAAAGTAAACTATTCTTCTTCTGCAAATTGAAACTTGAATGGATTGCATTACTTCAACCAAAAGACAAAACCAAAACCAAAAACAAATACTAACAAAAACAGTTTAGCAGTATTGGCAGCAACCGAATGAATTACGAGTATGAAAAATCTTAAACTTACCTCGTTGCGTAGAGTATGAACCTCATTCTGCAACGATGCTACCATCTCACGTAGAGCGGCTACCTCACCGCGTAATGTAGACACCTCAACACGCCATGCACCATCGTCTTTGCGTAAAGTACCGACCTCCTCACGCAAGGCATTGACCTCATCACGTAACTCCCCTAACTCATCCCGTTGAGGTGGAGGTGGAGAACAGGGAGATAAACGTCGTGGCATCTTTGTCGGTCGCCTATCTTGCGGTGATGGTGGAGAAGAGGCTCGATGATGTGACAGAATAGGTGATGGTTGTCGTTGTGGAGGTGTATAGCCGGGTCGATCAGATGATGGCTCTGGGTGAGGTGATAGCTCTGGGCGAGGTGATGGCTCCCGAAGTGGAGGCTGCTCATCAACCGTTCCATCAAAAAAACGCTTACTAGCTTGCCACCAATCAGTGGCAAGCTCAGCTTCCATGGGTGTCAGCCTCTGTAGAGGAGTGTTGGCCTCCTAACAATATAAAAGCTCAAACAAAGTTAAACGTGTACTAGTAATAACTTGTTTATAAACATATGGTAGTATTTATGTTAACTTACATTATTTATTGTCGTATACCGTAGTAAATCTTCCCATTGCAAGGTCCGTTTCCTCTTCCAGGAAATAGCCCTGGGAATATCATTTGAAGTTTTTATTGCATATGTCTTCATGGCGGGAAAGGCCTCAAATATCCAAATCTACAAACAATATAATAACAAACATTAGTAATTGTTAAATAATTACTTATAATTTTGGAAACATCATATCAAAATTCTTACCTTAAAGGCCCAAATAAAGCCTGTCAAAGTGTATTTGGAACCATCGCCATGCAAACTTTTTCGATCATCCAAGGCAGACGATAACTTATTCCATGTAGCTTTCCATAAATACGAGCCCCACGGAAACAGGTTCCACGCATTTAGGTCTTCTACCAATTTGATTAGATCATTTGGAATAGGTTGTCTGGCCTCTCTGCCTAAAAAGCTGGCATGCAAAAGAATTAGAAGGCATACTCGGACAACGTCGACGTCATCCATCCGAGTAAAACCATCTTTATTATTCAAAAATCTTGTCAGGTCTTCTACGTGTAGACTCGGCCTCTCCAGCTCAGGAAAAACCCGGGATAGCCATGATGGGCGGGTAATGTGTCTAGTGTACCGACCTACATCATCGTGTCCGAAGCGTAGACCGGTGATTAAGCAAAACTCCTCCCGCCCAAAACACGTATACGCCGGTGGAAAATCAAACCATATCTCTTCATCACGACGTTGTATAGTCTCTGGTAGATCGCTAGTCATGGTTTGAAGAAACAGGTGTGTCAACATCGCATCTTCACCGGGATGTTGTACTTTCAGCCATGGCCCGAAGCATGTATCCTCAAACATTTTTCTTTGTGCAGGTGAAAGCTTCGACGCAATTGTTTTGGCCAGGCTGACTTTATTTCTCAAGGTCAATTGAGCCGAATAAAAGTTCTACAAAAACAATAAACATACTAAATTAGATATACCAAAAACTACACTGTGAAGATATACCAAAAATAATAATAAACATAAATAGTAGTAGTTTATTCTTCAAACTTAAATATGCAACACTGTCAATTTCGTATTTGTCTTTGTTTTTTGGTTGAAGTAATGCAATTCATTCAAGTTTCAATTTGCAGAAGAAGAATAGTTTCTGAAAATGAAAATCGCAACACGAAAATGACTATCGCAACGAGAAACTAAAATCGCGTTGCGATTTGCATTTCGCGTTGCGATTCTTGGTTCATTTAATAAGCAATCTAAGTGAAATGGTTAATCTATTATTGAAATTACCAGTAAACTTATCATCAATTTCAATATGAAAAACCTAATAATAATGCAAAAATTTCAAAAAGAAAATAATTAAAAAAACTAACCCTCGTTGGTTGATTTGGTTGATTTTCCATTTCTGATTGTGAGGGTGGCTCTGAGAGATTTAGATAGACGGATTTCGCCGGAGATGGGGACGGATTTCGTCGGAGATGGGTGAGAGAGTGAGAGATGGAGATGTGACTGAGTTGTGATTTTAGGTTCTAGGTTATGAGTTGCGATTACGGGATATACTGTGGACAGTTCAGTGTTCCAATATATTAATATTCATGTTTGGAATTTAAAAATAAAATACTTGGCCAGGATACTAATGGCGCTTTGAAAATCGCATTGCGATTATGTATTATCGCGTTGCGAAAGTCAGTATCGAGTTGCGAAAGTAAGTATCTCGTTGCGATTTTGTATTATCGCATTGCGATAGTAAGTATCGCATTGCGATTTTCCCAATTCGCGTTGCGATTTACTTATTCGCATTGCGATTTTCCCAATTCGCGTTGCGATTTACTTATTCGCATTGCGAATTGGGAAAATCGCAACGATACTGTAGACCATCGCAACGCGATTTTCAACTATCGCATTGCGAAAATGCAACGCGAATTTGCGATAATGGAGATCGCGTTGCGAATTAGCGATCGCATTGCGATTTTGTTGGTCATTTTGGCAAATCCGGAAAAAGTTGGTTAAAATCGTATATTATATGGGATTTTTGGTCACTGAGGTTATTTTCTCTAAATAATATTATTGATGAAGGTAGTCTTCTTTTAATAAAGACGTATTATAGTAAAAGTGTATTGCAAAAGGCTTATTTTTAGGGGATTGTCTTAAGAAAGACGGGTTAATATATGGCGTTACTGGATACATTAAAAGATATTTAATAAATTCGGTTTAGCGCTACCGGAAATGTTGACTAATAATAATGTAGTAGGTCTAAGTCATGAAGAAATATTAAAAAATTGTGCAACCAGCAAACTTAACTTGTCGGTTCGTGTCGATCCAAATTAAAAATGTGTCGATCCAAAACAATATAACAGGTAAAACTATGACAAAACCGGTAATGAAATGATAAAACCGGTAAAGCGCTACCGGATACATTTAAAGTGTCAGTACTTTAATATAAGGATCGACACTTCATGAATTTAAAAGAGAATCAGTTTTAAATCCTATAAAGTGTCGATACTTTTAAAAAAATGTATCGATCCAAAACGATATACCAGGTAAAAATATGATAAAACCGGTATCAAAATGATAAAACCGGTAAAACGTTACCGGATATATTGAAAGTGTCGATACTTTATATAAGGATCGACACTTTGTGAATTTAAAAGAGAAGCAGTTTTAGCGCCTATAATGTGTCGATACTTTAAAAAAAATATCGATCCACAACGATATAACAGGTAAAAATATGATAAAATCGATATCAAAATGATAAAACCGGTAAAACGATACCGGATATATTGAAAGTGTCGATACTTTCGTAAGTACGTGTAATAAATTATCGACACTTTCAAAGAAATAGGTAATTATCCTTTCGAAAGTATCGACACCTGACATAAAAGTATCGACATTTTTGTATTTGTATCGATTAAATATAAATAACATATCTGATGAAAATATAAAGGACATATCTAAATATCCTCTGAAAATCGATAGAACGGACGAGTTTTTGAAATCGAAGCGTAATTGTTGCTGCATTTCAAAAGGCGTTTTTAAAGCGATGTTTGTTTGTTTATTGATGCAGTCGAATCGAAAAGTATATTGTCGAAACCCTAGTTTTTTATTATTACAGTAATCGCGAATAGAGTTTTTATGTTTTGTTTGGGGTTTTGGAGTAAAGAAGCATTTGGGACCGATTGCAGGTAGAAAGTGATATTGTAGGTAAAATATAAATGTCGATACTTTTATTAAATATTATAGGTAGAAAATGATATTATAGGTTGTATAAATGTGCCGACACATTTTGTAGTGGCCATTCAAATTCTTTTGAAGAAAACCGTTTTACCACAAGAGTAGTTATCTATATTTGTATATTGAATAAATTGTATGTAACAAAATAATTTGATTTGCGTAAACTGATATATGAAGGAAAAATGGAGTCAATGGGTTGGAAAATTGTTGGTGGCGCAGATGACTTTGAAATTGAGGCCGAGACTCGAAAGCAACCAAAGGGTGGATATATGTACTTCTAGTAAGTATCAATGTCTTTTTGTTATTATTGTTGAAATGGTAATTGGATTAAAGTATCGATAAACTTTAAATTGATTACAAATTTTAAATGTTGACAGTACGGCCGAATGTAAAATGATGAAGGATGTGGTATTGATAGTGGTAGTTAAAGGGTGGGTACAACATTAAATTCGCAGTACATATTGAGGTATGTACAATAACTACAAGTATCGACCCAAAAAACATCAAAACCAATAATTATAATGTAATAAGTAAATTAGCAATGTAACAAGTATCGACCCAAACGAGGTGCACGCATAATATATTAGGTCAACATAAAGTATCGACACTTATTAAAAGTATCGATCCCGAAAACATCGAAACCAATAATTATAATGTATTAGGTAAATTTACAATGTAACTGATATAAATATACCGGTTTTATGCTAAAATAGGTCAGCATATAGTATCGACACTTGTTAAAGTTGTGTCGATACTTACGGTCTAGAATGAATGCCAAAAAATGTGTACCCTTAAAGTGTCGATACATTTATTAAAAAAGTATCGATCCCTAAAACATCGAAACCCATAAGTATAATGTTCAATGAAACTGGTATAATTATACCGGTTTTATGAGAGAATAGGTCTAAATCATGTATCAACACTTTTTTAGTTTGTGTCGATATTTTTGTCCAGAATGAAATATTAAAACCAACGAGGTGCAAGCATAAAGTGTCGATACTTACGGTTTAAAATGAATGCCAAAAAAGGTGTACCCTTAAAAAATGTCGATACATTTATTAAAAAAATATCAATCCCTAAAACATCGAAACCCATAAGTATAATGTAATAGGTAAATGGTCAATGAAACCTGTATAATTATACCGGTTTTATGAAAAAATAGGTCTAAATCATGTATCGACACTTTTTTAGTTTGTGTCGATATTTTTGTCCAGAATGAAATATTAATGGCCAACGAGGTGCAAGCATAAATTGTCGATACTTTTATAAAAAGTTTCGACACTTTATGAAATATCGAAACCGATAATTATAATGTAATAAGTAAATTTGCAATGTTACCGATATAAATATACCGATTTACTTATAAAATAGGTCAATATAAGCGCTACCTATTACATTATATAAGCGCTACCTAATATGTTATTGTACTTTATAATATTTCCCGTTAAATACATATTTTATTATATAAGCGCTATCTATTACATTATATAAGCGTTACCTAATATGTTATTGTACTTGATAATATTTCCGGTTAAATAATATAACATAACCGGTCTAAATTTTAACCGGTCACGCCATATATTAGCCGTTTTTTAGGTGCCGCACCGCATAACTACCCTATTTTTAGGGTCGGCTCAGGGGAGCACCATGAGCAACCACTCATGCATCCATTTTTTTTTGTATTTATAATTAAGTAGCTCAATTTTTTATATTTATAATTAGATCCTTTATTTTTATATTTTCATAAAACTTTTATTTTTGACCCTCTTTTTCTTCTCTTATTAATTCATCTAATTTTGGATTAAATTTAACCAATTTTTTATATTTATAATTAGGACCCTAATTTTTATAATTTCATAAAATGTATAGTTTTTGACAATCTGTTTTCATTTATCTTATTTATTCATTCAATTTTAAATTTAATTTAATCATGTTTTTGTCTTTTTTTCAGAACTTACTCTTCAGTTTATCAAATATTCTTTAGTTTCTAGTCTTTTTCATTCTCAATCTAACAATAAAATAATATACAAAACTAATTTTTATATTTATAATTAGGGCCCTAATTTTTATAATTTCATAAAAAGTTTAGGTTTTGACCCTCTTTTTCCATTTCTCTTATTTATTCATTCAATTTTAAATTTAATTTAATCATGTTTTGTCTTTTTTTTTCAAATCTTACTCTTCAGTTTATAAAATATTCTTTAATTTCTAGTATTTTTCATTTTCAATCTAACAATTAAATAATATACAATTCTTTTTATTTTTTATTATTCAAAATCAAGCTATGTATCATACACACATTCAATTTTTATTTATTTATTCTATTTTAGTTGTATTTAAGGTGTTTTCTTAATAAAACAATATATTTTCACAAAATTTAATCATTTTTTATGATTTATTTATGTACTATTAAATTAATTTCTTAAAGTAATGAAATATGCTTTCATTTTATAAAGGCATATTTTTTAGTTTTCGCTAAGTCCGAAAACATCTAGAACGGCTCTGCTTATTTTGTAGGGAGCGTTTTTGCCGTGATAGGTTTGATGAGTGGTTTCTTGCCAACCAAACAACAATAACAATACACATGTATGGATATTGTCTTTATCACTCATTAAGAATATGTTTAGAAGATTATATTTAAACATTTTAAAAATTATATATAAGCAATGTGAGATTTGAGAATATTATGACAAAAACTCATATAACTAAAATAGAAGGTGAATAACATACCTCGAAACTAGTTTAATTAGATAATAACTGAAGGAGATCAAAGTATTAGAACATCAAATCGTGAATGAATTTCGTTAAAAGCTAATTTGAACAAAGAAGAAAAAGAGTAAAATAAAAACATTCTAGAATTAATCTTATCATGAATGACGACGACGACAAACAATTAATGATGATCGCCTCACAAGATCAAAGGAGTAGATCATTGTGAATAGGTGACAAAATCAATATACAAACTAAAGTTCACTTGAAAAACCCGATCATATCCTCATGGCATTAATAATTCAAAATTTAATATTTATATTAAAGTTGAAATTAAAATTTAATACTAAAATTATAACGTTTAAAACTCAATCATAAAATCGATACAAATCTTATTTATTTACCCTAAGAAAACATTACATGATTAATGATAGTTACGCACGATACTCGATGGCTCCGGAACGACCTTTTAACTTTTAAGCTCGTGTGTTATGGTTCACAGCTGGTAACCCAAAGTAAAGGATTCAAAGAATCTCAACTTGGACAGCAGGGAACCATCAAAAAGGCTTTAGCAACAGTTTGTGGTTAAATGTAAAGACAAAAAAGAGGAGATATTTCCTATGGTATTAAAGATATTTGTTGGTCATGTAGGAATATGACTGATTTAATTACCAAATCAATAGTAACAAGCTAATCATGTCA